AAACGAATGAGAGAGATCCCTCCCCTTTAAATAGGAGGAGGTGAGCCTCTATTAAGGGAAATAAATTTTAATTTTCGTATTTATTTAATATGAATTATTTTTATTTAATATACTAACAAATATGATATCATCATATTTGGAATACTTACTAGTTATTTCCTTAATTCATATCAACCAACAAGGAAGTAGATTAAGATTTCCTTAAATTATAATAACAAGTAAGGAAAGAAAATCAATTCCTAACTTAAATATTTGATGTGATTACAGCGGGAATCCTTATGTGCAAGTGAATTATGATAGTTGCTATGGATCACATCTAGTAGTGATAGTAAATGGACCACCTGTTGCACATGTACAGCAAGCTAGATTGTAACACCCCGATTAGAGTCTCACAGCGGAAATGAACAAGACCAAAAATAGCTTATAAGGGTTCGATGAGTGTATTACTATCAATTTCAATTTAAGCATTTTGATCAGTTTGTTAGGTCAAACGAAGTTGATGCGCTCGGGTCATGACATAGATAACCTTTTTTTTGCTAGCCATATAATCTGCCAAGTTGATAGTCCAAAATTAACTAAATCCACAAGCTCAAGCATGATCAACTCCTCCAAAAAAGGATTTAAATCTAACCAATTGATCCACTTACAACAAAAAAGAAAAGGAATATATACTGAAGAAATAAACTAAAGTCAAAATTCCAAAAGGAAGCAAGGATGTGACTTGTCTCTTCCTTCTTTTGCTGGTTCTAATTAACAATCAAATCCTGATTTGATAGTTGATTTGCAAAATTTAAATGCTTCGGAGTTAGATTTCGATACTAATACAACTTAACCAATTATGATGAGATTCCTCATAGAGAGAAAACAAACATATTATTTCAATTCGTTTTTGAAACTATTCCTTCTCTCTCAAAAAAATAGTAAAACACACATTGTATTATAAGTTTCCAACCTCTACAAGGATTTCTGCCGATGTAACTCCCGTTTCTTCTTTCAACTCTCTAAATGCGGCAACTCTGGGATCTTCTTCTCCATCCACACCGCCCTGAGGGAAAATAAATTCACATAAGAATGAAGAAATTGGTTCATAAAATACAAAAAAATAATAATATAACATATTAGAATATCTCTAAATCTGATGCCACAACTGAAGATGATTATTCGATCATCTATTTAAAAGTTTTCCCTTTATGTAGGTTCTCATGATATTAAACCGAACTGTCATTACAGAGCATGAACAGCCATAGGTGGATTACCTCCTCCATGATTGACATATGCATACCCATCAAGTATCGAAGTTCTTTCTTTAGATCACACTATATTTTATTTTTCTTCCCCTTTTTTGTAAACAAGTATAGTAAATTATCCAACAAGAAAACAGCAATAGCTTAGCATGATTTCTGCAACGCAGAAACCCTAATCTCTGGCATCTCTTTGGTCAATCATCTATACTAACCGAAGCCTTCAGTTCTTGGAGATTAGCAGATCAAGATGAGATTTTTAGCACAACTGCAACACCTATCTACCATAAAAAGAACCATCAAAGCATGGTTGCTGCGAGCACCTGAGGCATTTGCCACGCGCCGGGGATGTCAAGCCTCGAAGCCGAAAAGATCTGAAAGAGTCCAACGATCCATCACAAGAATTCGCGAAGCAACGAAGAGATCACGGAATCCTGCAGCAAGGTATACCAAAGGCCGGACCTTGTTCTCGGGATTGACGAGGCAGATCCCGACGTTTCTCCGGTAGCCCGGGGGAGGGTTCTCCATGGAGGCGGCGACGAGCTTCGAGGGTTTCGCTGACGGACTCGCAAATCTTACGAACCTTGGAGGGCAGGTGGGGGAGACGAGGGACCTATTGATCGCGGGCCAAATGAAGAGGACGGGCCGGCGGCCGAAGGAAGCAACCACCATCGCTCGCGCCGCCACGGCGGCAGGGTCGGCGTAGGGTAATGGACTCGGCTGCTCGATGTACCAAAATTACCCTTCTTCATAATTACATAATTACCCTTACGGACCAAATGTGGTCTGATTTAACTCCAAATCACTTGCGGCGAGGCGAAACGCTGTGTGTTTGTGATCGGTTTGAGCTCAATTAGATCCATGAGACTGTTGCCTGCGTCCGTATTCGATTATGTACGATACGTTTTACTCAGGCCAACACACGAAATTGTCTCCCGAAGTACAACGAGTATTTTTTGTCCTACATCAATGCAGCCTCTGCAACGTGATGCTCGAGCCCTCTACGGAATGGCCAGCCTACATACAGCCTTTGGTGGGCGGCGAAAAGGAAGAAGGTAAGGTTGCATCGTACGTGTTCTCCTTTCCTGATTGGCCATAATGCGTGGGGCCCGCAGATTCTGTCATCTAACCGCATATTTTGAGCGTTTGTAATAAATAGTACGCAGACATGCATAGCGAGATATACTGGTAAACGACCGGTGGTTGAGTCTAATCCTTGGTGCGTGGCTGGCGGCTTCTTTTAGCTTTTCTAGATGTGACGTGGGACATCAACGCACCGTCATCCTCCCCAACACGTCTCTCTCTCTCTCTCTTACTCACAAACCTCCACGCCTTCCGCATCAATATTGATATGGGACCGACCATATTTCTACTGATGGTAATTAATAGCAGTAATTATTCTCCCAATAATTAATGGAACACTGATTTATATATGATCGGCTCGTGTCTCTTGCAACGAAGAAGAAAGAAGATGGGCAAGCATGCCATGATCTGTCGTCCAGCATTGACCACACCGACTCGAATGGACTGTCGGACGTGGAAAGAAGTCTTGCCACGACTCTCGACCCACCGTTCTCTCGGTGGGCCCGCCGGTCGACGACGAGTGGCCCACTGGTTCGATCGAGACCCACAACCAAATTTTGATTCCGATCCCCCCCCCCCTTCCTTTATGTTACCTCACAATGACACACCATCAGACTTGCCATGACCGTGATTGCTCCCCAGTTAGCTAGCGTGAGGGTGGGTGCGATGTTACTTTACCGAGAGTGTGTTGACTGTTGACTGAGGAGATCAATTATTAAGAGGGTATTTAGAACATCTCACTTGATGTCTGTTCCCATGTTACATGAACATCTAATTTATCATCGGGATATTGGGGAGTTCAGCTGTCACAGTTGTAGGAATCACTGCTTCCACCAAATGCTCTCGATCACGAGGTTGTCACCTCCCGTCCCTCGTGGATGAAAATGAATTAAAATGCATGTATTATTATTATAGATTTAATTTATTTTTTTTAGAATTTTAGAATTTAAAGTTGATATATTTTTTTTACGTTTAATTGCATTAAAAGAACAAAAAAAAAAAGCGTCTAATTAATTTGGAAGGACCACCACCACCACCACCACAAGCAGCCACCACCATTGACGCATGCACACTTCTTTTTAAGCATCACATCCTGTTGCGCTTCTTCACCTCTCTCTATCTCTCTATCTCTCTCTCGAGCTTGCTGCGGCACCACCATGTCGAAGAAGGACTGCGGGAACCACGGGGAGCACAAGCGGCACAAGCTGTTCCGCCAGCTGTTCGCGGCGTTTCTGCTGCTGGTCATAGTCGCCCTCCTCGTGGTGCTCATCGTGTGGCTCGTCCTCCGCCCCACCAAGCCTAAGTTCTACCTCCAGGACACCAGAGTCGTCCAGTTCAACCTCACCACCGGCGTCGGCCTTCTCACCTCCGTGTTCCAGATCACCCTCTCCTCACGCAACCCCAACGGCCGCATCGGCGTCTACTACGACCGCAACGCCGCCTACGTCCTCTACAAGGGCCAGCAGATCACCGCCGCCACCGCCCTCCCGCCCGGCTACCTGGGCGCCAACGACGTCATCGTCTGGTCCCCCTACCTCTTCGGCGCCGCCGTCCCCCTCGCCCCCTACCTCGCCGAAGCCCTCTACCAGGACAAGAACGCCGGCTACATCCTCCTATACCTCCACGTCGACGGCCGCCTCCGCTGGAAGGTCGGCACCTGGATCTCCGACCACTACCACCTCCAGGTCAACTGCCCCGTCTTCCTCACCGTCGACAGCAGCAACCACTATGGCGACGGCTCCGTCCCCTACTTCCACTTCCGGCAGATGACCTCCTGCACCGTCGATGTCTAGATGCCCTCTCCTTTACCTCTTATCTTGACGTCGTTACTGACGGTCGTTTGGGACACTTCGTTTTCTTTTCCTTTTTATTTTTCCTGGTAAAGAAAATAGCATAATAGCTCGTACGTATATGTTCACGAACCTTCTCGTTACTGTTCTTCAATTGTAATTATGGGGAGTAATGATCGGGCATATGGACGATCGAGAATATGTTATGTCTCGATTGATTTCTATTTTCCTTAGGAACTTTCTGCATGATTACAAGGAGTGGCTCACAAGAAACGAAGAGGGGGTGGTGGAAGTACACCAAACGCTGGACAAAGAGTTGGTGGCAGGGCTATGTCACTTTTATTAGCCTTTGCGTGCAGTTTTCTTTTCCAGTTAGGTGTCGGTCCGTCCATCGGTTTGTACATACATAAGCGCATACCACATGTTGAGATGCATAGAATTACAATCGTTGGATGCTTCTGTTGACCAAAGATAAAAAGGACTCGCCATCACACAGACATTGCAGATGGCTGGTGATCGAATTTGTTGAAAGGTCAATTCAAGAGGACGAGAAAAAAAGTCTGAGAGGACATGGAAGGGGATATGCATCATCCTGCAGAATCGGCTAGGAGACAGGGATCGCCTCCATCGGAAGGAGAGGTTTATTGGACATCTCAAAAATATTGTCCGGATATAATTATATTACATACATATTGGGGGAACTTATTACCTAATCCAATACCATAATAAATAATTTGAATGTAAGTATATATACACTATTGTCTGGCCCACTCGAAAGCTTGTAAAAGAAGGCTTTATTGTGATCTGTTTAAAGTTCAGATATTAGTTATATATACACATCGCCACCTGCTAAGTTACGAGTCCGCACTCTCCTTACCAACAATGGCGTCTTCCTGAAGTAAGTTATTAAGTCCATCACCGTCTTCTCTAAACCAAATAAACTGCTAAGCCATAAGTTCGTACTCTCTTTCGGGTCTTATGCTGGGGTTTATTTGCAGGAATTCAAGCAGAATATTAGTCCTATCACTATATATATATATATATACACAGGTCTTTTTAGGAAAAACGGAAGAACATATATCGACGTTGTTATTCTTACTATCGGCAGTTGTCTCAATTACTCTGCATGCATTTGATTTTGATTTGTTGAGATTGTAATCCAAACTAGCCTTTTTCTTGCAATGCTTTCGACCACCCACCCAAACGAGCACACCGATATGCTTTCATCTTAATGCATTGTGATTCATATGGCTAATCGTTACCATTTTTAACAAATAAAAGAGATGTCTTTACAAGTTAATTAGAGAAATATTATAATTAAATTTATATCAGTGCAATTAGGATCCACTTGCTTTTCCATTTTAGGCAACATTATACTGTGCACACAACCGGCAGTTCTCAGCTGATCTCCGCATTGTGTTGTCGAGATGATTGGATCAAATCTGAGCCTGAAGGCCTATGCATTTTTAGCTTCATCACCCACTACATTGTTTTCTTCTTCAGTAATTTCTTTCTCTATCCTTTTGTTTCTAACATGATATCAAAGCCTAAGGTGGGAATTGAAGATGGATCGTGCAGATTGGGCTTGGGAGGACTCCACTGCAGCTACCTCCCAACCGTCCAGTTCTACCTTTGGTGCACTTGTCGTAGAAAATATAACCACAGTTCCTACAGTGATGCCTGCGATTAAAATATCCAAAATCTGAACCACACGATGTGCATTTGCTTACAGCTTCATCTGGAACCCAGTGATCTTTCTCCTCATTAGCAGGTTTTATCAAGCTTCTCCGCCATACTCCACTGCATCTGCCTCCCAACCGCAGCAGCCTCTCAAATCTCAACTCGTGGACCGTGACTCTATCTCAGTCGCTCCACCTTCCGTCGCTGCTCCCACCGTGATCGTACCCGACGTCGCCATCGGGATCATTGCGTCGGCCTCCTTCGAAGCTGAACAAGGGCCACCACGCCATGCCCTCTTCTCCTCCTTCTCCTCCCTGCACCGGCGGCATTCTTTACTACCGCCTTTTCTCTGCCTCTTCCTACAGAAGCAGAGCCGACGTAGCCTCACAATTGCTCCCCGGCCAGTGACCTCTCCTTCTCGTTCCCGCATCTCGCTCGACTGAGAAGTGCCGCTACCGCCATCCTTGCCGCACAGCCATCACTGCCTTCCTGCGGCAGCAGGAACAATTGCAGTTCTTCTTCAACGATCCTCCTCCAGGAACGAAGGAACTGGGACGAGCAACAAGCTGCAGCAGCCCTTTGCCGCAGCAGCTTTCGCTGCATCTGCTGCTGCTGCTTCCCTCTGCATTGAGGCCGACGGAGCTCTTCCAATATACACCTAATCGCTGCAGTTTCCTTGAGCATCGCTGTAGCTTCCTCATTGCTGTAGCTTCCTAATCGCTGCAGCTTACTCATCGCTGTAGCTTCCTCATCTGCTTTAGCTTCCGCCGCAGCCGCAGCCGCTGCATCTCGCTTCCCTCTATCGCAGCCGCAGCCACAGCCACAGCCGCAGCCGCAGCCGCAGCCGCAATCGCAGAGATCTGCAGTAGCAGCTACTCTTCTCACTCGTTTCCTCCCTCGTTTCCTCTATCTTCCGTGAAGTACTACTCTCCCGTTTCCTCCACCTTTCGTGAAGTACTGTTGTAAAAAAAAAAAAAAACGCTGCGATATCTTCCTTATCTTTTTATGATATTCCAGTTTGTATTTCTACATGGACTCACGGTACTTTTTTTTAAGGACTTATCTTCATCAATGTTACTATGCTAATCCCTTTAAGTTATCAAAGGATGGCAACTATGCATACTAGTAGGTTCAATTTTTTAATCTCTTATTTGGATACGATTTACTTGGCTATGTTGACGGCTCCTTCAGTTGTCCGTTAATCATGCTCAACATTCCCGGAGAACCTAGTCCAATACCTAATCCAGCTCATAAATTATGGTTGCGTCAAGATCGTCTCATCCTCCAAACTATTCAAGCCTCAATTGCTGGATCCGTCGCTCCATGTGTAACTGCTGTCGATGCGTGGTCTAAACTGTAAACAATCTTAGCGAATCATTCGCGTACTCGCAAGCTCAATCTTATATCCAAGCTAAGGGTGACCAAACAAGAGGGAAGTACTATCACTGATTATCTATAAAATATCAAAGTTATCATCGATGACTTGACTTTAATAGGTCATTCCCTATGTGACTAGGAGATCATCATCCATACCCTAAATAATCTTAGAGATGACTACAAGGAATTGACAACTGCAATTCGGGCACGCGACTCGCTAGTCTCCTTTGAAGAACTCTATGACAAGTTGACTGACTATGAGGTGTATTTGAAGCATGCAGACAAATTTCCCGAACCGTCTATCACAGCTCAAGTCAGTTATAAGTCTAAGAGGAAGAACACTCGGTACCCTTCAAACATCACCAAATGTATTCTTGATCTTATGGGTCCCATGCAACACCCCCCTTATCCTCATAATCATAACTTCTCGCAAAGTGACAACTCCAATACTCGTTCGCCTTGGCATCCTGCCCGTTCAAGCCAACAACAACGGGTTGTCTACCAACTATGTGATAAAATTGGACACTCCGCTAAAGTTTGTCGGTCTCGACCCCACCTTCCTACTCCATCACACTAGCCTCAGGCAAATCTTCTCACTACTCCGACAACTAGCCAGCCCAACTAGATTGTGAACTCTAGAGCCTCCCATCATATCACCTCTGATCTTCAGAATTTGTCTCTTCACAATCCCTATGGTGGCGATGAAGATATCATCATTAGTGATGGTAAAGGCCTTCGTATAACTCATATTGGTTCCACAATGCTTACTTTTGATACTATCACATTTACACTCGATGATGTTTTATGCACCCCTAATATTAAACGCAACCTCATTTCTTTTCTCAATTTTATAAAAATAACAATACTTCAATTGAATTCTTTCCTGATTCCTTTCTTGTTAAGGACTTAAGCACGGGGGCATCCTTGATCCAAGGCCCGAATAGAGGCAACATTTATGAATGATCGTCAACTCCACATATAATCCAGCCCACTGTTCATTCTTCCGTTGCGGCTCTAGTTGATATGTGGCATCGTCATTTTGGTCATCCCTCGTCCCTTATTCAGCAAAAATTACTTTTTTGTTTCTCTCTTCCTATTTTTAAATTGTATAGTTCTATACTGCATTGTGATGCATGTCTTAGTAATAAAAGTCATCGACAGCCATTTGGCTCATCTTTTATTTCCACCTCTAAACCATTTGAAATTATTTATACAGATGTTTGGGGCCTTACCCCAATCCTATCTTTTGATAAATTCAAATTTTATGTTATTTTTGTAGATCACTTCACTAAGTACACATGGTTATATCATTTTCACTATAAATATGACGTTTTGACCATCTTTCCCACTTTTCAAAAGTTGGTCGAAAACCACTTTCAGTCTACCATCAAAATGGTTTACTTTAATGGTGGCGGTGAATATCAAGCCCTGACGTCCTATCTCTCAGCTTGTGGTATCCAACACCTCAAGTCTCCCCTGCATACTCCTCAACTTGTTGGCTTCACCGAACGCAAACATCGGCATATAGTAGAAACTAGGCTCACACTTCTCCATCAGGCCTCTGTGCCTTCAAACTTTTGAACGACAGTCTTTCAAACTACCGTCTACCTTATTAATAGAATGCCTACGCCAGTCCTACAATACCAGTCCCCCTTTGACACACTATTTCACAAACCCCTAAACCTTCATAAACTCGGAGTATTTGGTTGTCTATGTTATTCATGGTTACATCCCTATGCCTTTTATAAGTTAACATCACGATCTAATCCTTGCGATTTTATAGGTTACTCTCTTGCACATAATGCTTTCCGCTGCTATAATCTCCATGCTCACAAAATTTTTATATCACATCACGTTATTTTTGTTGAATCTGTCTTCTCTTTTCAAAACCATACTTCTCCTACCATGCAGACCACCTCATTAGCCATTCCTCATTGGAGTATACCTCCGATCCAATCGGATGAGCCTCCTAGGACATCGTCCAGTTTTGATCCACACTATTCCACTCCTCCGGTTCATCAATTGCCCATTCCCTCCATTCCTACTCTACTTCTTTCTTCTCCGAATATTGGGGTACTTGGTTCAGGATCACAATTGTTATCTTTAACTCCTTCTCGGCCAAGTGACCTTGATGTACCTCCA